TTGTATCATCGATTCATTTCTTCGTTTGAACACAAGCACTATCGAAGGGCATTCATGTGCATCCAAATGGATGATAATATTGCATCTATTTCACACCGAGATTGAAATATATCTTGTCTTAAAAACCGATTATTGAAATGTCAATGGTATTACGTTTTCCATTGACGGTGGCTGGATAGAGAGATGTAGACATTTTACCACTCGATTATTTAACTATGTTCATTAACTAGTATATCTAAATAAATTTAAAAAAATGGTACATTGCCAGCACAAATTTGTTGAAACGAAAGAGATGTGGTGTCCGTGAACCATGTTCTCTTTAATTCTAGAAATGTTTTGGTTTGGCATTTTTGTGCCTCCCATTCACTCGTTCACTCACTTACGATTCACGGATATTTAAATTTGGCAAAATGAATGAAGACGAATGTCGTACTTGTGTTCCCGATGTAATGATGATGAATAATGGATATAATGATAATGATGACGGTAAACGAGATGATGATACTGATGATGATGATGATGATGATGGTAATGATGAACAGATGAAATGTAGCAAAATTCCTTCAACACTAGCGATAGCACATACGCCTATACATAACACTGAATTGCATTATTTGCCTGCCGCTACGTTTTCCTCTTTTGAACAACTAAAACACCATTGAAAACTCTTTTTTTTTTCAAATAAAGGTGATATATGGTAGCGCGGCTATTTTGCGTCAATCGTATACGATTGAGTTCTTCTGTTCACAATGAAAGGCAAAAAAAATTAATTATTTCTTTTTTTTGTCGTATTGTATATATATTCCAAATGAGAGTCAATGAATGAATTAATGAATAATCGTCATCGAAATCATCATCATCATCATCGTATTTGCTGACAGTTTTTGATGGTTAAACGTTCGAGAGCGTTTTCCATCATACATATATCGTCATCGGTGTTGCGATGCTTGGCGCTTTGAAAATCCGTGAAAAAAGGTGAGCATGAATGTGAAAGAGAAAGGACATAATATCCCAAATATCATGGCACAAGATATACGACAATATTATATATATAAACAACCTAGATGATGATGTGTGGCAGAGTGGATTGGGGCGACGCGGAATACATTCATACAATGAATGCGAAAAAGAGAGATGCCGATGATATTTTCGGAAAATTTGTTTGACGACGCTCTCGCGTTTACACAGTGAATTTATTTCAACGAAAGACGAATGATACACGGGAACAGATCAGAGAATCCAATGTGAGAGAAAACCCACTATGATTTCATATAGATATTTGTATAATATGTCTCGTTGTGCCCATTTGTATTGTGTATTTTTGGAGCGCGTGCGATTTTACGATGCGAAATATATTGCTGTTGCTGCTTATTTCAATCTATATCTATTTGGTGTGCGCGCGTGAGGGGTTGCTTGTTTGGCTTCATCAGCGGAAAAAGGCAGAGAGAGAGAGCGAAGGAGCAAGCGGTCGAGAGAGAGAGAGAGAGAGTGAAAGAGAGATATGAGCATGGAGCAATAGCAACAGTACAGGATGCACATCATTTTCGTTGATTATTTTTGTGCGATTGTGTGTATATATATAAATTTTATCAAACATGTTGATGTATGACTCTCGGTACTTCTTCATTGCTCTTAATGAAATGTGTTGAGTTTTGGTTGAATTAGAGAGTCGAATCCCTATGCCGTTATGTGTTCCGTATGCTGTGCGCGACACCGTCATTTCTGCCAATGTGATGGTTGTGTATCATCTCATTTTGTTCACTCCATCTCATTCGCTCTCAATCGCATAAACGAAAATAATGTCAAATGCATACGTTTCATTATCGCACGGATGGCAACTTCGCACACATTCACCCATGCACACACACACACACACTCGTTTCCTTACACACACACATGCATCCAAATATATATATATCGATGCGGCCGTACGATACACGGAACACAAACATCATTTCACAAATAGGCAAAAGTCGGAAATTAACTCTTTTATTTCAATCGTATGCTGATTTGGATCCTCTTCTGATTTCAAAATTCGCTCTATGTTTCCATCTCTGTCACTCTACCACAAATCATCCATACACTCGCAAAACCATTTATCTCTCACAACATACTTGATGCATTTTATTCGCTTTACGATTGACTTTTTCCACTTTCAAAGTAAAGACATTGTTTAAATGAAATTTTTATTGCAATTGTTTAGCCATTTTTTATACCCCCATTGAACAATGATCCCGGCTAAACACTAGCTTTTTTCTTTATCCTTTTCAATTTCAAAACAGCTTGAATGTGCTCTCTTCATTTTTAACTTACTCTTTCTTTGTATTTCTATGAGAAATTTATTGTTTATGTGTCAATTAATGAAGAAAATGAAAAATTAAAATAAAAAAAAAAATTTGCTTTCAAATTGTTGTTATTGTTTTCATTTAAAAAAGATTCACTTTTCAACATGACAAATTATCTCATTGGTTGATTTTATGTTATCTCTATTATATTAAACAATCAATCACACAAACACACATTTATTCGTTTTTCAATTTGATTTTGTGTTATCCTTTTTAATGCTTACTTGAATAACTTTTGGTTTTTGATTTTAATAAGTTTTATAATTCTTGGTGTTAGGCGAATGTGGTGATTTTTATTTAATTTCTTATTTTATATTATTATTATTATATATATTTTTTTTTTATATCCACCGTATGAAATGAATGTTTTGATTTGATTTTGTTTGTTCTCACGACCATTGACACTGACACTGGCTCCTAGTAGCATGAAACGCGCGTATATCGCACACATACACATACGCACACACTCACCACCACAACAAATGGATTGCATGCAGCAAGAGTATCAGCAGCAGCAGCAGCAGCAACACACAGAATCATCACGTTTGTACGCTCTGCCAAAATGAATTGAAATTGAGCATGCCACTCGAACAATCACGAGATATATCAGAGTGGGATTTTCGCAGTCACATCAACAGTCAACAAACATTTTATCAAATTGATTAAACGCTCTCTTACGCGCGCTCTCTCGCTCACTCTTTGTCAGTTTAATCGCGTTTCGTTGTCTATTTCATGTCGTTGGTTGGGCGCTTCTCGGTCTTCGATTTAAATTGCGAAAATGCTAAACGTATGGGATGACATTTGGCAGGCATCTTTGATTTCATCACATGTACATATAAATCATCATATCGATTTGCAAATGGCTTCTCAAAATAAATTGAAAATCTTTGCACAGCCTGTTGCTCTTCGGATTTATGATTCACGCCGAAGCATTTTATCATAATTAAATGCATTTCAATTGGTCCATTTTGTTTTTCTTTTATACGTTGAATAAAATTAGCTTTTTATTTCATTTCAAATGGTAAATTGAATGCACAGCCCCGGTGTAACGGTACCTGTTTTATAATCTACCTTCCGCTTTTAAACAAAATGAAAATGAGCATTTTCATGTTATCACATAAATCGACTGTGATTTCTTGTATGTGTTAAAGTGCGTTCATCTTCGCCATTGTCAACAGCATCAGCCATAATTTTCTCCGAATTGCGGTGATATGTATACGAATGTATCGGTGTATTAGTTTGAGGGATGCTCGCGTGTGCATTTACTCGCTCAATCGCAATCTATGTCGTTCGGTGTCGCGCGCGCCTCTATTTGCTCGCGATAGACACATACGGCACATGCCGTCAATATGCGTCTTTGTGTATGTATCACTTGTATGTGTGTGTGTATGCGTGAGCACATTCAATGGAATTATCTCATCATTGTGTACAAAATGCTAATAATAAATATGCTACATTGCACAATCTTATGATGAACCTATTATTTCCATAAATAACATATACTATTGCAATTTTATTGGTATCGAGCGCTTGCGCTTTTACCTCTCGATCTCTTTATTTTACCTTTGTATCTCATCATCATCATCATTATCATCATCGTCATCATCATCATTCATCATCAGTGTCATTATCATCATCCCTCATCCACCATCTCCCACCGATATCGCCAGTCATACATTTCGGTGTCACTCATCAAACCAAATACACTAATGATATACATAAATATTAATGTCTATTTTTCCATATATTAATACATTTGCAGCTGCAAACCATCACAATTTCAATGAATGGTCCATTGTCGTCGTTCGGTTTTATTTAGTATAATTTACACAGATCTCACACATTGTGTGGCACATGATGCACACAAATTTCTTGATTGCAGAACAACATAAAATTCTCTTTGCCAAAAAAAAAAAAAAAAAAAAATTGGAAACATTTCGGTATAGTGCATTCCGATGTAATCTTATTATATTGTGTCAAATGAAAAAGCTCGTCGCTTTTTTTCTTCTATTTGTTACTTGACAGCAAAGTTTCAAACCATTAAAATGGCACCCCAACTTTTTCTCGGCGCACGTACACGACTGCCAAAAACTTGAATGTTGTTAACGCTAGCACATACATATATCTATGCACGATAGAGGGTGAACGTATCATTTTTCACGACACGTACACACACACACTTCATCCGTTGTCATTCACCTTCTTTCACATAAATCTACACCCGAAATTTCTCGGTCAGATGGAGTTAGTAGTATTGGTATATGCATTTGACGGATTTTCTAATTGAATTTTAACATTTCCAATTTGAATTTCACACATATTTTTACTGTCGTTGATTTGCACTTTCGATTCTCATAAATGGTCTTTATTTTTTTAGTTTTCATCCACTTTGTATGCCAATGTTTCACCAATTTATTAACAATTCGCATTATATTGAAATATATATTCGTTGAGAAATGTGTAAAAAACAAAAGATTTCAACACTAAAGAAATTGGATACCAAACCACTTTTTGTCGTCGTCGTCACGTAATTTATCGTCGAATGAATTTGTTTGTAGAAAATCACACAGCCGCAAAGGTTTTATTATTTTTCCCATTTTCAAGTAAATATTTTCTAAAATGTAAACGAAATGTGAAATTGGAAAATGCACTTACCTGCCATATCGATGATTAAGATCCTGTACAATGTCTTGTTTTGGTCCCGGTGTCACAATAGCTGGATGTGAATTTAGTACATGATGATGTGATGTGTGCACTGAAGGCAATAAACCAGGTGAAAACCGAAATGGAAAATCACTGTTTAAAATGAGAAGAGAAAACAAACGCACACAGCGAAAGGCCGATTGTTAGTAGTTGAAATGATAAATGAAACAGACACTTACTAAATAACACCATATAAAATTGGAATGAAAATGATACGGTTTCTCTGTCGCGTCAGTTTTAAATCAAAACAGAGACAGAAGATGAGATCGTGCAATTTAAAACAGAGAGATAGCAAGTAGCGTGTCGTTTAATTTTCCCAAAAATATTTCGCAGATGGTGGAAATGTGAAAACAAAAAGCGGAGAAAAAAAGGTGTTCCAGGGTGAGCTACAGGGGCCATAAAATGCGTTGAACATTTGAATTTGTGATCGTAACGATGAACAAGTTAGTGGAGAGCACAAGAGAAGGAGGGAGCTTAAAGATAGACAGAGAGATAGAAGTGACTGGTTCAAAGACGACGCAAGGGAGTAATTGAAAGTACGATTGACAAGTGTGTTTGTGTCTGTGTGTATCATTGCCGACGGTTTTGTTTCACAAATAATTTTCAAAGGCTTCTTTGCTGCTCGACCGCAACATATGCACGAAATACCGGTTGTACAACGCGGAAAATCATTGTTGTTGTTTTTTTAAATATAAATAGTATGGAAACCGAAAGAGAATTTATTTTCCTTCCTTGATTACCTTTTTTTCGCAAAAATAAACCAAGTGCTTGGCATTTGTAGTGTACAATCGATACAATGTTCTACTGAAATGTATATAAATCGTGTAGAAAACGTCTTAATACGTACTTTACGTTCAAATTTCATAAAATTTAAATTGATGAGTTGAAGTGAGTGAGTGAGTGAATGAGTGTCTGTATCAACTTAAGAAATTTATCGATTTACGGATTTCCGTCGGTCCGTCACTTTATGTTTTCTTTATTATGCATTTGCTGCGAAACGGACACACACATGTAGTGTCACAAAAAGAACACAAATAAAATCATGAATACTGAAAACACACGAAAAAAAAAAACGTGTACAATAGAAAGTTCCGCAATGTGAACTACACCGCGCTACCGTTTTTATAAACTGCATCATGCGGTTTTCAATAGCTTCATGAAATTGCAATAATATTGCACACTTTATTTTTTATTTCGTCTGTTCTGTCTCGTTTTTCTTTATGTTTATAGTTGGCTATTTTCTAAGCACTTTTTTTGCTCTCGTCCATTTGTATATTGTTCACAAATCGAGTTACTTTATGGACACATTTCAGTTGACAAAGTCAATGTGTTGCATATTTTATTAGTTCAGCTGGTGTGGTCGACTTGACAAATGTTGCGCTACTGTTGTTACTATTTGCTACTGTTACTCTCTGTTGCTCCGTTGGTTGCCTTTGAGCTTTTGTAAACTGCACAAACTCTTTTGCGTAAATTAATGAACAAGCATCATTTCATGCCGACGGCATTTCTTTCGTTATTTTTTTTTTATTTGTTTTCTACCTCGAAATTTTCATTGCATTCATTTACATTTTTTTAAATAAATTTTACGGTCTCAAATATGATGATTTACACTCAATTTTTGTGCACATTTTCTAGCCAACATTTCCACAAACGAAACAAAAGACGAATGCAGATTTATTTTATAGTTTTCGAACAGTGGAGAGGAGAAGAGAAGAAAAAAAAAACACTCACACATTACGTACACTTTTCATTTGTTACAATATAAATTACGAACAAAATGCGAAAAGCAATTTAAGAAAGTAAAATACAGCCCGACATTCTTGTCAACTATATGAAATCATAACAAAATAACAAGCAACTCAAAAATATAAAAAAAAATAAACTAACGAAAAATGTGAACACACAAAAATTAAAATTCAGTCCGTCCAAGGAGAACTTTTGACGCAATTATTTATTTACACGAGAACACACACAAATACCAAAAAACTAAAAAGAATTTTTCATCAAGCCGCAAGAATCTTTCATTTCTGGATATACAGCGAAAAAAGAACCGACGACGAACAAAACAAATTCAATGGCACACACTAATTTTCAATGAATTTATTTGGAAAATGTGAAAAACTCTCGTGTTGTGGCTACTTGTGACCCGAAAGCATATTGTTTGTAGATTTAAAGAAAATGAAAGAAATCCGACATTTTTTTCTCGTTCATTTTCTAAAAGGAATATTCAATTTGTGGTGAACATTGTTCGAAAAGAGTTTCACTTCATTTCATCAAAAGTAATTATTGGCTATGGTTTTTGGCTCGTTTTCGTAATGCTTTCTTTTGGGCTCTTCGTATCGCTTAATCTTGATCATTTCAATTGGTGAATGAAATTTCAATTTTGATTTTCTGTTTTCCAGCAGTTTACTCATGAGTTATATGAAAGTATATGTGATTGATGGTCACAGATTTTTACCTTGGTAATGATGTATTTATTGGTAATGTCGTTGGATAAGAGCTTCGGAAACCACTCGCAGTCGAATACACTGTTGGCGTATGCCTTTTTTTGTGGATGGGTGAACAGGACGTGAAGAGAGAAAAAAACAAAAACAAAAAAAAAAACAAATTCAAAAATCATAAAAAATAAAAATAAAAACTTAAAAATTATAAATCCAATAAAAAGCATGATAAAAACTACTTCTAAGCAAATAAAATACTTAAACCAAATTTGTCAAATAAAATACTATATGACTATAAATATCAACATACTTTAAATGTCAGTTTATCAATGTAACAAAAAAGTAAGTTTCATAAACAAAATTTGTTTGAACTAGTTTTTGATTCAGACACTCGGTAAGAACATTTATATAGTTGTGAAGCCATAAAAATGGAAAACAACTGATTGTCTGCAAGAACTTTCAACCGAATGCAATGACATTCCTAATTGAACATTTTTATTGAACTTACCATGAAGCTACTTGTGACATGTCTGGACTAAGCATTGGATATGCATATTGACTAGTTGGAAATGGATAGATTGGTGGTCTGGATAATCCTGTAAATGACACAGAGAAAATTTTATTCATTAATAACGATTTAAATGGCATGTAGGTTTTTTCTATCCTAAAAAAAGAAATCTTATCTAATCTTTGCTAAATTTCATCTCGAAAACAAACGAATTTGATGGAACAAACAACCTGAAAAATGAGAAACTTTTAATAGAATCTCTCTTCCATCGATTGTGATCAGCAAATTTATGATTGTAATAATTATAGCATTCAATTTTGATTGAATGAAGAATACAAAAAATTTAATTAAAAATTGAAATTTACTTTTGTCCAGAGAATATAAAAAAAAGAAGAATGGATTTTTGATGCGAGTTCACGGGGTGTCGTGATTTTTTTTCTTCATTCTTCTCCATTTATGATGAGTCCAATAAAACTTCTGAATTGAAGAGAGAAAAAAAAGAACTAGAAGTGATGTACCGGTGTAATAAACACCAAGTGTGTATTACTGCATTCGGTTATCAAGTGTGAGAATATATCTGATGAGTAACGATGCAATGATCGACAAATGCCTAGCGTGAATGCATTGAACAGATCATTTATGGGCACTTCGTGCACAAGATAAAAAAAAGTATCATACGTATGTAACAAATATGATGGCGTGAAGAATGAAACAGCAAGTGAGAATGGCTGGTATATTGGCCGTGCGATGCGCGCATAAAATCTGTTGATTAATTTGATTTTGAAGCATTGCACACAGACCATAAAGTACACGTGAACTTTAGCATTTTTTTATTATTTACTGACCATGAATTAGGGTGTTTCATTTCACTCCTTTTTTATTGTAATCCTGCTATGTGTTTGTGTGTTAAGATCATTTTTTTAGAGCGTATTCGTGATCAACAGCTATTGTGTTTTGGTTGGAACTGTTTGAGGAATGGTAATCGGTCTCATTATGGGATATGATCTTAACTAATATCGAGTGTGATAAATATTATATCTCTGTGTAGAAGGGAATTGGTGTTTTTTTCATCTTCATTCTTCTTATTTTTTTGTATCATGTTAAACACATAATGATATTGGGCACCTTAAAGCGATTTTCGTTTGCACTCGATTATTTATCTCAGCTTTTTATTATTTTTGAATACTTTTTTTCATTCTCTTTGCTCCGTTTGTTTTTTCGTTGTTTTGTTTTGTTGGGATCCACTTAAAATTGTGGAGCGTATCACGCGTATACACAAGGACAGCCGATATAGAGAAAGAAGAAAAGAAACTGTCGATTATAATTTGTCTTAAAATATACATTGGTTCAGTGAGCAACGATGTTGAACGATGCCTCAACAAGAAGAAACCCGTCTATTTTAAGCGTGATTAAACATTTAAGAACATATTGGCATTACAATAATGAAACGGAGAGAAAGAGAGAGAGAAAGGCGAATGAAAAAAAAAAAACAAGGAAACACGAATACATAACATACAAATGCAGTGTGCGTGATTAGAGCTCAAATGAGAATCTGAGCAACAACATCGACAATACCGTGCACATCTTCCAATAATAATAAGCAACAGTAAGTGAGAATGATATACATGTTGTTTTAGACAATTTATCGAATTTTGCCTTCGGGTCATTCTTACCCTTTTTACCGCTGCAATGATACACAGACACACCACAAAGCGTTTTTTTTTTTGTTGTTGAATTCATTTTTTTTTGTTCGTTCGTCGTTTCATTTCAATCATCGTTTTTCTTCTTTTTCAATTCTTTTCAAAAATGCTTTTTTCTACTTCACTTTACTCTTTCTTCGTCTTACATTCTTCCGATTCCCTTTCCGTGCACCGAACAAATACATTCAATCATTTCTGTGGCTGTCGCATGTGTTTTCTTCTTTCTCTTTTTTTTTTTTTTTGGAGCCATGTTATGTGTTTTTGCCATGATTTGTGTGCAAAGTGTGTGCAGAAATCATGGTCACACATGCAATATTCAGAACACATTCACACACTTGGCCAAGACGTCCAGACTTAATTCGCAGGCAAAAAAAAAAGAAACCATGCACACATATACGGACCAAACAAAACAAATGCCAAAACAATCGTCTGTTAATTGAATGGTACTTAAACGCGCGAGCAACGATTTTTGCCCGTGAATTTTTACCTTACATTCACACGCCTCGTGTGTACGAATTGAAAACGGCATGAATGGAGTGGCCAATATGCACACACCATCGTCGTCGTTGTCGTGGTCGATATTGTTGTTTTGTTTACGGGCCAAAGTACCACGCGGTTTTGTGTGGCAAATAATTGTTTTTTTTTTGCATTCGCTCTTTTACGCCATTCACTTATGCATTCGTTCCCATGTGTGTGCAACCCAAACGTTTATTACGTGTTGATTTGTATAATTGAGGCGTTGAATTTTGCTTCGAAAACACAATTCGAATGTTTTAGTCTGCATACTGTGCGTTTTTTTCTTTCGACAGATTCGACCATTTCTGCTTTTCTATATATGCCGGCCGGTTTGATTGTTGTTGTTTTTTCCAATGTAATTTACCAATTTTTTCTCGCAAATCAATACATTTACTTTTCGTGCTGCGTTTAGACTCGCAATTCGTCCAGTTTTTTTTTGTGTGTGTGGTTATTATATTCCGACAAGCGATTTTCTAATTATGCTACTGAGTGTTTGATCTTTTCTGTGCATCTGATTGCAAACCATTTTGCAGATGTAGTGTGGCGCTTTTTCTTTTTCTCTCTCTCACCCACTCTGCTTGCCACAAAAGTCCATTTTGAGATCTGATTTTTCGGTTGAATTGCTCGATTTTTTAACAAGCACTCGAAAGATTGACTTTTTAATAATGCATTTGAAATTGATTGGTCCATGCACACTCCACTTTTTCTTCGTCAGACGAAGTTCGTCTTTAAGTGAACGGCAAAAAATATTTTGGCCATTTTCAATTCAAATTACGTCTAAAAAGATACAATTTCTTTGCATATTAAACGTATTAGCGTTCATTCAGGATGAAAGAGAATCAATCAGAACTAACGACTTTTTTATCGTCGTAATTGCATATTTATTCAATAATAAGAAAGAGAAAATTAATCGCGTCAAGGGCGCGCACACGTTCCACACTCAATCGTCGACCAATCGCCATTTTTTCTGATATTCAATTTAACCCTTAACTTCTTCTGTATTATTTTTGGTAGTAGGAATAAAAATGAAGGGAAAAAGTTGCATACAAAAATGCGAAGAAATTTTGTCGAGAAAAAAAAAACCAATTTAATGACTGCAAAAATATATACTCGAGAAATGCGGAAAATGCACACAAAGTGCCGACGACGTCGTCGCATCTAAGTGAGTGATCATGGTTGTATACGCGTGCGCGCGAACAATTTGAAAAGTAAAGCACACCAACGATTGTGATTTGCAATTGAGACACTTTTGTATGTAACCGATGCACTTTGGGCAATGTGCACGCGAGCACAACAATTATGAATTGAGTTGAATAAATATTATTCATTTCGTTCAAACTCTTCTCGCTCTCTCTCTCTCTCTCTCTCTCTTTCTTTCTTCCAGTTCCAAACCAAAATCATTCGATTGATAAATTATAAACGCTTCGGTAGTTCAAATTCATTTTCCGTCGTCTAAATACATTGTGTCAAGGTTTAAATAGTTTTTTTTTCGGTTTTCCGGTTTTCACCGCATACATTCACATTATTATTACTTTTATGAATCTGGAGTTTTTGCCTTTGATCTGTATCGAGAGACTAGGATTTCGATTTGATGAGTGTGTGCGCAAGTACGTTCAAAATTAACAATGATGAATGTGCTTGCATTGAATGTCGGGGGCTAAGAAACACACACAGCATACAACCAATTAACGAAATCATTTTTCGTCTCTTGTTGTGGCTATATGTATTTTGTCATCAAAGAAAACACTTTTCGTCGTCTGCTGCAATGCAACCGTTGCCGCCGCCACTGCCACCGTCGTCGTCGCTGTCGTCTTCATCATCGCTGTTGTTGTTGCTGTTATTGTCGCCGACTTACAACGAGAATCACAATTTTCAGTGTGTTGTCCATAGGAAAATAGCAAACAAACAAACCGATCTGCGGCTTATATATTATCTCCTTTTCTGTCTCATTCTTATTTTTCGACTCCATCTCTCTCTCGCACTTTCATTTTAGAAGATTGAACGGATGCACATTTTCATGCTTTTGTTCAACCATATTACACATTCAATTTTCGTCGTCTTCGTTTTTTATTCATATTCTCGGAACAAATTTATAAATATGACATATACGTCTTGTGTGTGTGTTGCATTAACTAGAATGGTAATGCAAGGTTCACGTAAACTCGACTCAATTTCATTTTTTTTTTAAATGCATATATTTTTGTTTGTCGTTTGGTTTAAACTGAAACGACAACAACGATGACATCACTCTTCGTGTGTGCACGCAAATGAGACGAATGGGCGCGCGCGAGATAGAAAACGAGCATTGAGATGAGGGAATAAACCAAAATGAGCCTTTTAACATTGCGGTTATACACGTGACCTAGTCCTGCGGCTATCGTTAAGCATTTTGTGTCGTTTGTCAATTTACAAAAACGACGAGTTTTTCGTTTTTCTCTCGATAAATCCATGTAATTGTCTCGCATGCCAGAATTAATACTTTGCCAATTTTCGCTTGCATCACATCTAGTACATTTCCGCCAAAAATGCGATTGAATTCGTTTTATTCAATTGATCGTATTAATGATTCAGGCACGTTTATTGAAGTATGTGGTTATTAAAATTTAAACAATGTTGAGTGGAATTCATTCGAACTAAATATAGCAGAAGACTCATAAATTTAATCAAGATATGAATGATATTGAATGTTTGGTATTGATAAACTCGCAAAAATACGCACAATTTTTCCAATAAGGTGAATGTCACACGTTTACGAAGACGACGGAAGCAAGCTGATGTATACACAAAAAGCCGAATTAACACTTGTTAGTAAATAAATGATTTACAATAAACTTGAGCAATTCGAGTCGCTTCTTTGCGCCATTTCTTCATT